ATAAAGAAATCTTATACTCACTGGACTCCAATGGAGGATGAGAACTCTCAGGAATCCGGGGAATGTCACTAAAAGAAACAGGGTATGGTGAAAATCCTATTAGGGTAAAATACCCCACTTGGAAGAACCCCTGATCATTTTATTTCAGTGATGTAAAAAATCCTTTTGAATCTTTACAGATGTAGAAATGGAGAAGAGTTGCTATTTAGGTAACTGCTAATGTGCATGAATGTCAAACACCACACAAGAAAATACATTTTTATATATTTGAGCGCAAAACATTTTAACATGACAACAATCAGGCTAATATTGTGGATAAAATCACCACAATATTTCTACTACCAAAACAGCACGTTTTGGAAATAAAAAATGTTAAAGGTAATATTTCACTTCAATTTTAGGAAATCAAAATAACACAAATTTTACAAATCAGTAGTATGTTTTACAAACACATCTGAAAGAGTTTACTGAATGAAAGGAATGAAAACAACTTGATAATAAAATGAATATCATGGGCAAAGTTAATAAAATGAAAAGGATGAATTGCTTTAGAAATTAAATATGGTTCAAGCTTGCAACAAAAAGCAAAATAAATTTATATATGTGGATATATAATACATATGCACATATATACTCTTTATAGAGATTCATGTCTCTATACTGAAGTTAGCTAAATATATGGCTATTCACTTTATGGTTAGAAAGTGACTTGGGAGAACACCCATTCCTGTCAAACTCACAAATTACCCCAAAGAAATGTTTATGATAACCTTGGCTTAACCCATTTTCTGCTGTGACCTTAAGAACCTGGACGACCTTGGTTTGGGCATTATACTGTATAAAACTACTTTAACTCGCCTTTTCCAAACATATTTTAATATCAATTTAAAGAGCTTCACAATACCCAGGTATTAACATGACATATTAAAGCAGACTGGAGTTACTTAGTAGTTACAGAATTATCAGTATACTATTTAAGAATGTTTAATCACTTACCTTATTACCTAACTTCAATTTGATTTTCTTTACATTTTGGGGAAAATGAAAAGAAAAAAATTTTCTCTGATTGTTTTCCTGATGTCTCATTTTCACTCTTTTGTGCAAACTAACTTTTATGACAATCTAAAACTCATAGCTTTTTACAAAATGCAATAATCTTGATGCCTATTTTATAAAATGTATTTTACTATATATTTTCATATAAGAAAACATATAAAGTTTATATGTCATTTATCTAAACTGATAGCTAAGAGATAGCTAATTTATAATAGCTAAGGCACAAGAAACCACCTGTTTATCCCATGCTCATTACTTCTAAATTCACCTAGGCAAATAAAAGTTAATTGTAAAAAAATAGTGAAAAATCAATTCTTAGATGAGTTTTTTGAAAATCTGCCTCACAGTCAATTAGGAAAATTATAATATGAAAAAGCAAGGTACGGTATAGGCTTTGTATTGTACGAGTCACTGAATGAAGGATGGTAAGTTAAAAAATGTGAAGTGATTTTTGAATCAAAATTTATATAATGTTAATTGCTTCAGTAATAATTTCATGCAAATGAATTTTCATGCAAATTTCATGAAATTATTACTGAAGCAATTAACATTAAATAAATTTTCCCTTGATGTTTAAGCAAACTGTCTCAGTTCTACTCTCAGTTATATGGTAATTCTAATAACAATTGGAAACATAAAGGTCAAGGATATTATCATTTGTTGGGCTGACAAAAATGATCAATACCTCCAAAAGCAAGATGTCTTATACACTGTGATGTCTCATAGACAATGTACATGTGAATTATATTAGGAATGATTCTTGAAATCATTCTGCCAATGTTACAAAGAAATATTTTCTCTCTGCTTTAAATTAATTACACTTGAAGAACAAAAACTACATAAATATAAGTATTTTTTAAATCATTAAAATTAATCTAGTAATATATTAACTGGTAAGTTGATGCCAGCTTTCATTTTCATTCAAATATAGCCTTTGTATTTCACATTCCTTTAATTGCATAATCCCATGATAATTTGGGGTGTGGCACTGTAGATGACTGAGTTAATTTTCATACAAAGTTAAACAATGTTATTCCAGTCTCCTTTAATTGTCTGTTGGTTTCCTAAGTCAACATAAATTGAATCAATGAAATATTAGCTGATTACTTTGAAACCCCTATATGTATCTGAAAATACTTGGCAATGTGCACAGTACTTGATTTTAAATTTTATTTTTTGTATTTTTGATTCATTTTCCAATTTACTTACCTCTTTTCCAGTCTCATATGTACCTCAGCACTAGAACATATGTCATGTAAAATGAGCATAAATTATAGTGTTATTTTTTAAATCTAGAGAGAAATAAATGTACAGGATTTGCACATGTCCTTGATGTTTACTTGTAATAATCACCATTTAAGAATGTTTATAATCTTGCCCTTATTTTTAGAGTTTATATATTAATATTATTCTTTGGTAATTGTTATACATTTTCATTCTTTTGAAATTGGGATAATTGTATTTTCTTGTATGTTTTTCACTGACATATTCATTTGGACAAAAAATATTAAGTTTAGCAATTTTTTGACACAAAAAAATCTTAAATAATGGCTCTATGATATCTTGGAGAATAGGAAAAAGAAGAGTTATTTCCAAGAATACATTCAAACATTAAGCCAACTATAAAGAAGTGCTTCAAAATGCCATCTAAAGATTGTAAAATGGCAAAGTATTTATTTTGGAATTTGTGGGTTTGCTAGAAAAAGCTAACTACAAGGAAAATTCTATACACAGATGCAGACAATATTCCATTGGCTATAGACAAATTATGCCAAAAATCGAGGTTTTAAAAATGTATCCGTTATTATGACCAATTTAAATGTCAAAATATTTAAAACTTCTTACTTGATTTTAAATAAAAGCTGGAACTATTAAGACACAAAAATTATCCTTTGTAGAATAATTAAAAGTTTATGTAGACATGAAATCATTAACTTTAAATAATATAAAATGACAAGTTTTCTAGAGATTCCCTTAAAGGAAATACTACCCAATAAATTAGAAATATGAAAAATAAATATTTCTGCCACTAAAAGAAAAGTTTATATTTCACTTGTGAAAAATAGATATACTTTTTTTATAGATATACTTTTTGATATTACAACTGTTAAGTTGTGGAGCTTCTAAAATGTAGTAAAGAAAATTCAGAATTCAATTTTTAAAAAAATAAATCTAAAAAATTTAAAATGTATGCCCATCATTGATTTTTAAAAACTATCCATGTTAACATGTATTATATGAATGTAAAAACTTCTTTTTAAAACTCTGCTAATACATGTAATTTACTAAACTTAAGAAGTAAGTTTTTTTAGCCTTACCCAATAGGCCTTGAAACAATAATTTCAACTTGAGGTTCTGATTTTGATTCTAAAATAATGTTGTAAACTTCTTCATTTGTAGCTCCCGGCAGGGGTTTACCATTCCATTCTAGAACTTCATCCCCTTGAATTTAAAAAAAAGGGTATTTTTTTACCTTAAATAATTTGTTTATTTTTCTTATCTTTTCTCTTTTTTAACAAAGAAATGCGAAACATATACAAATAGTTTAATCTTCTCGGCTCTGCTCTCAAAAGATTGGTAGTCATATAATGTCAGCTAAATGGATATTCTGCACACTTTTATTCTTTTAGTATTTTCTCTCCAAAAAATATTACTGGTCACTGGAAACAGTACAATACAAAACTGCCTTTATCCTTTGAGGTATACCAGGAAAAGTTATAAAAATAATCTCATGCCACTGGATGGAATTAGCACAGCCTAGCTGGAAACACTGAAAAATAATAATTAGCAGCATGCCCATGCCTTCCATATCATAAATGTAGGCAGTTCTATATGCAAAAGATTCTTTATTAAACTGTGCAAAGTCCTGTTTTATTTTTTGGTAAAATCAGCAATTAATGTTTGCTAGCATGAACTTTCAATTAAAAATCATGCTTCACTGTGTTCACCTGACGCATAACAGAATAAAAATGCATGAAAGGATCTGAATTCACACCCATAGGGTAACACAGGTAGCTATGGCAAAGTTACAAAGCAAGCAGATGTAAAACTGTTGCATGGCAGTTAATCCACTTCCAGATGTTCAAAACATTTATAGTCTACACAGAATATATAGTGAGTATTAAAATATTAGTAGAAAACACGTAAAATAATGCAAACCACAACATAATGCTAATTACTTTGTTAAATAGTCCAAGATTAATCTAGGAGCATAATATGATGATTCCGCATTTAAAAATATAAGCTAACAAGAAATAGTTATTTTAACTAGAACTTTCACTATAGATCATTTGGAAAGTAAGATTTATTTTCATAAATATTTGGAGTAGTTCTCACTTCTAAATGCTAGGCTCAGCTGAAATATTCCAGACTCAGTACACATTGAGATGTCTTAATTTTTGCTGCTCATGTTTATTTTCTTGTTCTTAGTATCTGAAACAGTTTTGGAGCTAAGTAAAAATGTATTGAAATAATGGTCCAATATCATTATAGATTTCAAAGTTAGCATTTTAACATAAAAACACAAAGCTAAGCCTTTTAAACATATAATCTTTTAGTTTTGGTGAAGTCCACAAAATATTTTAAAAATGCTGTACTAGAAATGTTTTAAAGTAATTATCATTTTTATCTAAGTGCTTCTTTACTCAAAAGTAAAAAGTAAATATCATAAAGTACATGTGCTGCTTCGGTTTGGTAAACAGTATGGTTATCAGCAATATATAAATGACTTTAATTTGCCCTAAGCAGTTAATTAGGACAGCTTTTCAAATAGGCAATGAATATACTTCACTGTTTTAAAAAAAAAAAGGAAAAGAAAAACATGCAAATTTACAATATATTAGGAGTGTGCTTAATTTTTTTATCAAGAAAAATAAAATTTACATCATCTCAGTCCACATATATAACATTAATATGTATATATTTATGTATGTGTATGTACATATATATATATACACACACACACACCAGAAAATGTTTTATGAAATAGTACTTACCCTGATATTTCTACTCTATTATGCTCTATTTAAATTTTTAAAATAATCAATACCAGCAATTAAATTGATTTTACTACCCATCAAGGAGTTGTAACCAACACTTTGCAAAAGTAGTGCAGTGTAAAATTCTCTTTACAGACAGCAACCTGAAAGTATAACTTTTAAATCAAATCAAATTAATGCATGTGTTAACCAATTGGAACCCAAACAACCCCAAAACAAAAGGGGGTTCCTTAACAACAATTAATTAATTGGTGGAAGAAAAACGCCCCAAGCAAAAAAGGAAAACAACGGGGGAAAAAAAACAAAAAGCACACGCTCTCTATCTATATAAAAAGGGTAGAAAAAAAATAGAAAAAAACTAAAAAAAAAAATCATATAGAAAAACACAGGGGCACATGAGAAAAAGAAAAAGAGACACAGCACACAAAAGAAACACAAAAAATAGTGCCACAGGGGACACACACAAAAACATTTTTTAAAACCCACAAAATTAGAGAAGAGATTAAAAACACAAAAGACGCCCACAGACACAGAACAAAAAAAAAAACAGAAAAAAAAGACACACACAACATCTCACATACGGGAAAAACACCACACACACAGAGAAGACCACACAGAGAGAGAGAGCAGGAGGTACGAAACAAAAAAGCAGAACAGCGTCGTCAACAAAAAAAGACCACCAGAACAACAAGAATCATAATAAGGAGGGGGGGAATAACAACGGAGTATAGAAAATACAACAAACAAGCAATAAAAGACAGCAAGGAGGAAGAAAGAAGAAGGACAAAAAAAAAAGAAAAAAAAAAGGAAAAAGGCAAAAGCCGAAAAAAAGGCAAAACGAAAAAAAAAATAGGTCCGTGGTTTTTTAATAGGCCAATGGTCTTTATATGCAAATAAAAAGAAAACTAGTTTCTCCATGTAACATTTCAAAGAGACTACACGATCACTTGTATAAAAAACACAAAGATAAAATGAAAAGCCATTATATTTATAAACTGATCTGCAAATTCAAGCTTCTGTAGCTAAAGTTATCTGACATCTGCAAATTAAGGATCCTCAGACTTTTCTGAGGTTTATTATTGAGTCATTAGATGAAGAATCAATTTAATGACATAGTCACCCCCAACTGAGTTACTCTGTCACCGAATTAGCTAGTTTCTGGCAAGAAACAACAGAGTATCATGCCTTTGCACATCTTTAAAGCTATGTAGTAAATGGAGAAATACCATGGTTATGGTACATTTTTTATAAAATAGCTGTATAGAAGGTGTCTATCAAAGAAAAAACCTGAAATGATTTTGAACTATATCCTAATAATCAGTAAATACCTTTATAGAAAATCTCTATCAAAGAAAAAAAGCTGAAATGATTTTGAACTATATCCTAGTAATCAGTAAGATCAAAGTATGATATATGCAAACATAAACATGCCACAAGAAAACCCACTATTCTGTATAATTAATATTAAAGAGTGGTAGAATATCTTTCTAAAGTGGGAGAATTATAATCTTAAGGTTCATAGATTTAAAATATAGGCTGGAAATGTTTTCTATGTGTTATAGATTCTTAATATTCAATTCTACAGTTCAGCCAACTCTGCTTTCTTTGTAAGTGCATAGCAAAAGCATAAGTAAACAGTTTAACCAAGAATTAATAATAAGCTCTGAAGTGAAGTCAAATGCAAGAAGTATGTTAATATGATTTTAAGGCAAATGAAAAGAGAACAATTTACCAAAAATAGATTTTACAAAGTGCTGGTGCTTAAATTATGGTACATATGGATAAATAAGTAATTATATGATTACATAAATTTTCAAACAATAAAATGATACATATGTATGTTACACTTAAATCAACAAATATTTTATTATGTAATCTAAATAGAAAATGTAATTATAATTATGCTTCATGAAAATACCTGCTCCTAAATAAGAATTACTGGGATGAATGTAAAAAGGTTTACTATAGCTTAAAATTAAAGTATTAAACAGTTTCATGGAACATATTTTTCACACGGCTAAATTGTTTTAGATTTGAAGTCTTATAGCATTATGAAACCACCTACACAAATAATAATCCTTCAGTATTGTGCATCTATGTGTACAAAGAAAAAAAATTCCTACTCTTACTCTATTCAAATTGCCACTTATGTATAGCTGCCTATTGCTGTAATCAGTAATTATTTGTACTTGGAAGAAAATTTTATTCCCACATTAAAATTAATTAGCAACTTAATTGACATAAAAAACTAACTCCAAGCTGAAACCCACCTGCTCATGCCTAGAGAACACATTGTTTAAATGTTAAAAAAAAAGAAACTGTACCTGCTCTGAGGTGTCCAACCACATCTGCCAGGCTGCCCTTCTTTACTTTGGTGATGAAAGCACCAAGGCGTCCTAGATCAGTCATTTTTCCTCCAACAACCTAGACAATTGCAAATTTGTAAGTTCCCAAGACTTATAAACAAATATCAATGTATTAGTTTCAGCAGATAACCCTACATTCTCTCATGATGTATTTACAATCAAGGATGGCGGCATTAATGAAGTACAGTTTTCATTACACACTGGCAGAATAGTATTGGGAGGAAAACATTTTGTTGTCCTGAGATGACCATGCATCCTAAGGAAATTGTGCTCTGATTACATTGGCCTAATGAAAAAAGTCACTGCAAAAATGTACACACTTACAAAAAACACGCCATGTCTCTCCCACTTACTGTCAAACATGAAGTGTTTGACACTGTTTCCATTAGAGTTCATTTTTTTTGAATTTTCTAAATTCATGCCTCCCGTTTGAACTGTTACTTCAACATGCAGATAATGCCCCACTACCATATCAGATTTTGATCTCTTTGGTATAGTTATGGTATAATGCACTGGGTCTATGACCATTAAAAACTAGAAACTTAAAGCACGGAAAGACTACTTTAGGGAAGCAATTGAACACAGTGCAAAGTATAAAACCTTCTCTGCAAATGACCACCTAAATACACATCTGTATCCGAGTCTCAGAAGTCTGAGTTGTACTACTAAATAGTTAACACTTTCACCTCACTTTTCCACTATATCTATGTGTTATGGGTTATTAATGCTCCATTCCACAGCTTAACCAACTCTATTTTCTTTATAATTGCATGGCAAATGCATAAGTAAACACTCTACCCATACAGTAATACTAAGTTCTGAAGTGAAGTCAATTGCAAAAATTTGTTAATGATTTTAAGAAAAATGAAAAGAGAGTAATTTACCAAAATAGATTTTATAAAAGTGGCTGTGCTGAAATTACGGTACATTGAGATATATATGACGTCAGGTTAGGGTTACAGAGCAACACACATTTCCAAATACTAAAAAAGTGGCACTTCTGTATTAAACATGGAGTTTCATTTTTCCCAATGCAGGAGCTCAAATATTTGTAATTAAAAGCAGAGGAGATATTAGCAAAGGTTAAGCTTGATCCACAGTTATTAGGAACATAACCAGTCATGGAAATGATCAGAATTATTTATGGCAAGAGAAATTAATTGTACTAATCAATAAAATACTATTGAGTACATGAATTGAAAGGGGGACTTTGCTGGGGATTGAACCCAGGACACTGTGCATGCTAGGCAAGTACTCTACAACTAAGTTCAATGCCCAGTTTGAACATTTTTTAAAATTTGGATTAATGGCTAATGGTTTTGAAAAGGCCATATTATCACAGAACTGTAATACAATCTCTTGGTAAATAACAGATCTAAAGCAATGTTTTTGAATATTTTTAAGTAACTCAGATCAAAACCATGTGGGTTAAATGCACCTATTCTTTTCGTATTACTATTTTTGTAATAGAAAATAATCTCTTTATTGATGTTTTATGTTGTTGCTTAAAATGTAATAGAGGTCTACATTATCTAACTTTACTACATTCCATTAAAATGCCTTTAATGTAAACATCATCCTTAAATTTTATATTCAGAGAAGTATGCTTTAGTTTTCCTATATTCTTTTGATTTTTCAAATACATCTGTATGCTATATCAATAAAACATTTAAAATATTCAGATAAAAATAGTACATATATGACAAGCTACATTCACTACAAGAATTTTATTTTGGAGGAAAGAGGAAGATATGTAAAAATCACTGTCTGAAACTTTATTGAATGAGGCAGGTACTGTAAGAGAAGAATACTTTAGGGCTGGAGATATAAGCACAGAGGTAGAGCACCTGTTTCTCATTTACAAAACCCTGGGTTCAACACTCAGTACTAAAGAAAAAAGAAACATGTTTTTAAAGTGTACTTACTTTTAGACCCAACAATGCACCAGATTCTTTGGGCATGGTTGTTCTTTTGTTAAGAATAACACGTCCAATCAATCTGTCCCCCTCTTTAGATGGCTGCCACGTTACAGGATGCTATTAAAACATAAAGTTTAAAAAGTAAACAACTTGCTTTTTCATTTTTGTAGACATACAGTTATTAGCTATAGCACGATACAAATTTCTCAGGTAAAAGACACTCTAGAGGAAATTATTCTGGGCACTCTAGCTTATAAAAATTTTCACTTAGAGGGCCAGTGATTTAGCTCAGTGGTGCCGTGCCTGCCTAGCAAGAGCAAGGTCCTGAGTTTGATTCTGAGTACAAAAAACATTTTTTTTCCTTAGAACTGTATTTTAGGTACAATAGACACAAAGTATAATTCTAAAAGTAGTTGGCAATTAACATATCTCTAATTGAAATATAATTTAAATTCTGCTTGTATATAGAAAATCGATTCTGTATTTTCAGTTGTTAATGGTGATAGCATCTTTTACCAAATAGTCAGTTCCTGAGTGACAGCAATTCACCTCGGAATTTTTCAACTTTCCAGTGATACTGCAACACATTCTTTTTATGCTCTCCAGGGTTGGTGCCCTGTGGGACACTGTCAGAAGCCGAGTGTCAGCAGCAAAGGCAGCTCCCAGGGTCACTCACTGATGACGAAGGTAAATGCCCATGCCCCACAGGTGACACACTGTTCCACAATGACGTTTAGTAGGTTGAGTAGAGTAAGTGCATTTTCAACTTATAACACTTTCAGTGTACAGTGGGTTTATCAGGATGCAAGCTCATTATAAATCGAGGAGTATCGGTAATATCCCAGCATTATTTACATATATTATATTATTTAATAAACATTTTTACTTAATTACAAATTTGTTATAATTATTCACTCATAATCGCTTTTCTCTTCCAATCCATACTCTCAAACAAAATTTAAATTTGCTCTCATAAAATGTACAAGATGTATTAAATGTGAAAGCAGAATAAGATTGCTACCAATTACTTATCAGTCAAAGGACAGTAGCTAGCACATGGAATCCTTGAATTACATTCACTCCCTTCCCAGAAAGCTTACCGAACTAATAGGTGATGTTTCCCGGCTGTGCCACGTGGCAGGATCCAACCAGTAATAATCCAAGTCACCTGCAAAAGAGGAAAGGAATGAAGAAAGCAGTGGTATTGGAGAACACATCACTTTAAGCATTATCTCTTGAATTTATAAAGTGCTAAGAATATTATCATTTTGAGTATGTAGATCCCAGAATCATAGACACCTATGTTGCAAAGATGTGAACTAAGTCACTTAAATGAATTCATGCTACAAATGTACTTCATACAATAAAGGAGCTACCTTTTCCTCTTATAAATCAGACTTGAAATACTGACAAACAGGAAAGAACAGGGCTGATCCGCCCTTCCCACCCTTAATACCTTCCAGAACATGCTACAGGCTGCCATCTAGTGGTGGTGGCTAAAATTGCATGCATTGAACTGAATAAGGGTTAAAATTTAGTGTTTCTAACTTTCTGAACTCTACCCACATTTTTAAAAATTGTTCCCTAGTATCTATCATTCCTAATTAACTGGAAAACATTACATGTGTTAATAACTTAGTGATGAGTAAATAACTGTTAGCAAAAGAGTGGATACAAATGCCACAGTATTCACCAACTTTGCTAAAGCCATAAAAAATTTAAAAGAGTTCTGACTTTGTACACATTCATTAACGAAACTTTATCTTTTTAAATTAAAATCTAATGCCAAAGAAAGAACCTGAGGGAAAAAAGAAACATTTCAAAGGAAAGTAGCAGTGCTTTCAAGATCTGCATGGAATAAAAGGCTAGAGAAAAAGTAGGTCACCTATGAAGGAATGGTGTGTTAGGGAAAGTGGGGGAATAAATGACCTTTTATAGTTTAAATATCAGATTTACTCAATAGGGATGTTTTTCTCCATAGCACTCCAAAGAGAAAGAAAGAAAGTAAAGGATGCCAGATAATGGTGAGTTACACAGCTAGGTAGCTTTTGAGAAAATGTGTGCAGCTTATACCTGTGCAAGCTATATTTTTCATAGATAAACAGACATGGTAGGTATAGGTACTATAAAATAAATACAATAGAAAATGATTTTTAAAATATTTTAAATCTGCAGGCATAAAAACCCATGCAATTTAATTTCTTTGTAATTATTTCTTCTCCATTAACATATCATAGAATAACTGAAAGCAAATGTTACAGATATTACAATAAATATTGAAGTGTTCTTCAAATATTCATGTGGCTAACAGTAATACATTGTATGCAAGGGTTAATATCAGAGATTACACTACCAAAAGCTATTCTCTTAAAAATTATTTTACATTTAGTCATTATCTCTCTCATAATCACATACTTTAAAATGTACATACAGCTTAACATCAAGATTATACACTTCTAGAGTATTGGACCAATTCAATTAGTGGAATGTAATGAAGTGTTTACTGTTTGTAAAGTACCATGTGGTTATTCTTGAAGCAGTTCTAGCTAATTCCTCCCAAAAGAAAAAGCCCACAAAATATTAAAATTGAAACATTACTAACACAAATGTTATTATTCAAAAGATGATTCTTGTAATTTGTAAAACACTGTCCCTAAAATTTCATATACCTAGTAATAAGGCTTGAGAACTTCTCAAATTCTGACTGGATTTGATACACTGTGATGTTAAGAGGACCACTGCAATACTTGAGAGGAGGATTGTATTTCTCTGCAGAAAAATTGTTCTTAAAGTGAAAACTGCTTCAGCAACTCTTAAAAGAAAAAAGAAGAAAAGAAAAAACAACATTCCATCTCCACAACTCCAAGATAGCAACAGGTCACTGCCTCCCTCAGTAATGTGCCTCAGCTCCTAAAGCCTGTGCTCTTTGGGGTCTTCCTCTGTCTCACATGCCCTGCCACAGGGTGGCTCAGCTCCATGCTTCACTCACTTTGTTCTGAGTGTCTGCACACATATAATTGGTGAATATTTGGCTGTGCAAAAACTGCTCCTCATAGGCAAAGAACCACGAGCTGGTGCTACTGGTGAACTGTGCACAATTTTCATATGTAAACAATGTTTTCAAGCACTGGTATCCTGTTCTCTAGAAGCTTGGCAGGGTAATCAACTATCTTGTGGAGAGTGCAACTTAACCACTACTGAACAGACAGACAGAAACAAAGGAATACCTGCATCTAATGATACATTTTTTTCAAGAGATTTCAACGTGCAGCCAATACTCATTTTCACACTATCCACTGACAATTTAAATGGCACAAATTTGTCAGTAAAAAAACAATTTTTGACCAATTTTAATTGTGCACAGTATTTTTCACATCTACCAAATACTGCTAATAAAAATAAATGTAAAACACTCCATAATCTAGCATATAATACTTGTTCATACTTTAGTGTACAATTATGCAGAGGACCACAATAAAAATAAAAAGATACAGCTGCTGTTTTCAAACAGAGAAGGGGGAGATGCAGAGTACTGTAATATTGATTATGCCCAAAGTAGGCTGTAAAGCATTAACCTCAAATTGGGTGCCAATTACCAAAGACCCCTTTAGTTAGGTTTTGGTATTGAGCACCCCTGGGCAGGTGGCTGGGGACCCCGAAGGACTAGAGGAAAGAAATAGGTGATCTCGGGGGAGGGGCCTGACTGTCCTAATGGGAGGGGTGCAAAAGGCATGTCGGAAGACGGGTTTGGGGGGCATAGCAGGTCAGTGCTTTCTGCATCTGGGCACAGTGTTGGAGAGGGCTTGGTGCCATCCCTGGACTCGGAGAGTCAGTGACCTACAAGCCCTCGTCACAAGCCCCGTTTGGAACACAGATGTCTGCCTGGCCCTCCTGTGGTGACCCCCTTTCCTAGAGCCCACCTAGCTGGCCTGCCCCTTCAGGACTCGGGGCTCAGCTACTCCTCACTCCTCAGCAACACACTGCAGCCTCCTCCGCTTGGGGGCTGGGCAGCCAGGGGAGAGCAGCGTGGGCAGTGGGGTGAGAGGGTGAGTGGTCCAGCTGCTACACCCATTACAAATACAAGTCTGTGATGCCCAGTCTGTGATGCAGGCCTGAAAAATAAATACACTAAGAGACGGAACTAGGAGAGTGAAAGCGGGGAGCCAGGATGACCAGTGCCAGTGCGACTGACAAAGGTCTTGGACAATTCCAGGCACTGACTTTTACTGGCAATCAATTGGAGTAAAGGCAAGCTACGTGCCGTTTCTATGGAAATTAATGTAAACAAGGCTTGTAAAGGACAAGACAAAGCATTCTCAAATTAGGAACAGAATAGACAAAATATATGGTTGTAATTAGAACACTGTTGGGGTGGGGATTTAGCTCAGGGGTGCTGCCTCCTGCCTCGCAAGCACAAGGTCCCGGGTCTGCGCCCTGGTACCAAAAAACATTGTCCTTTTAATCAGAAGGTTTAAGTTGTAGGGACGGAATTTGGGTGCAAATTACTCTGACCTTGGCACACAGGCTTCAGGGGACTCACTTCTATAAACAAGCCAATTGTGGGGTTAACTCTTCACACCCTGCTTTGAGTATAATCAATACTATGGTCCTCTGCACAATTACACCTCATTTATATTCCAAACAATTTCTAATAGGTCTCATCATTATTTTGATTTATCACTCACTAAAATATAACAATACCATTTAAAGACATAAAAATAAATACTAAAATTTAAACGTTTTTTTAAAACATTTGTTTCCTCTACCCATGTAATTACTAGCTTTGAAAGATACTGAATTTTTTACTACTCCAATTTGTCCTTATAATTCACATTTCTGTATTATTAATGAAAGAAGCAATACTTAACAAAACCATAAAATACTCCCAATCAAGTATATTATTAATACAAAAAATTCTATTATTACTTTTCTAATATATGATTAAACATATTGACTTCCAGATGGCATCGTTTCAAAATGATAAATATGTGGTGTTTTCTTGTGTAATGAATACAAATATTGCCTCAGATATTCAATGTAACTGTAAAGGAACTGATTTATTATTTCATTAATTTAGAATCAGAAAGGATATTGAAAGGTCGAGTCTGCTAAAATGGCTCAAATATATAACCAGGCTTGTTATAAAAGCATTGTACTTTTGAGCCTATTTTTTTTGTGAAGAATTTCACAACAGACTTGGTCCCTACACCTTGTGAAAAAATGGGCAAATTAAACTTAGCACAGAATTTCCACAAATCAAGCAAAATGTACTTTCAGTGAACAAATAAAACGTGTCAGCTAAACAACACAAGAGTCTTCTGTAAAGTGAATTCATTTTTCGTAAACCCAGGTCACTATAGAGTATGTAGCAATGCATAAGTATATATTTGTATGATTTAAAATTTTCTATCTATTGATGTCCACACAAAACACACAAAAACACAAAAGCACAGATGAGTCCAATAAGACCAATAAAAGTTGGCAGAACAAAATACCTTCCAAGTGACATAGGCGTTTAACAGGTATATTAAACTGTAAGAAAAACATCTAACTCCATGTATTAAATATTTAATAATTTACCTGACAGCTATATTTGCCCAAGTGGAGCATACCTAATGTGCGTGCAGCAAAGGCTACATCAAAATTTGAACTTCTTGTGCATCTCCAGAAGAAATACACAGCACATTTTAACATCATTATAATGAATGATGAGAAAGACAGCATTTATAACAATTCTAAGATTGATTCTTAGCAACTCAAAAATTTCTAATACATACCCATAATCATGCTACTTGTTATCTCAAAAACTGAACTGCTCTTCTTACATAGAATAAACTGTTCTCACCCAAAAATATAAATTTAACAGACCAAAACTCGAGAGAGTCATTCTTCCCAGGTATTTCCTAAACCTCTTTCTTTTTTCTCTTTTATTGTTTTTTTAAGTCCTCTATAATAGGACATGTGTTGATATTAAATAAGATTAGATGAATCCTGCACTACTTTACTACAGCATAGCATATACACAAATAAAAATACTGAACAAAAATATGTCCAATATTTTTTACTATATGTATGCAGTATCTACACACAACAATCAATTCAGTTCTAAAAATTGGTTCTTAAATTGATATAAAGTATTTTCAATATGAAGTTCCATGGCCTCCACAC